CTGCAGCTCTAGACATGTGGAAGCTAGCCAGCCAGGCAAAGTGAGACTGGGCTGTGGTACACAGAGGGAGAGAGGCCAAGGCGCTATGATCTGAAGTGCAGGAAAACAGAAGCTAAGAGGTTAGTATAGCAGAGCACAAAGGAAGGAGCTGGACTGGAGATGCTAACCTTGACCAGGCCGTGTGGGCCTGGGAGGCATGTTAGAGGAACCAGCATAGGGTTTTAAATGGAAGAGTGAGATGGTTGAGGAGAGAGAACTTTTTCAAGAGGGAGGAATCAATCAGCAAAGTTGAATGCCTCTAAAAAATCAAGATGAAAGCAGGAAAACATCACTGGAGGTCCCTACTGGCCTTGCAGAGGTGTGTTGGGACGGATGCCAAATCACAGATGTGGAGGCAGCAGGGATAGACATTCATTATAAAGACAGATGGGGGTTGGGTGTTTGGTACAGTGGTGGAGCACTTGACTAGCATGGATGAGGCTCTGAGTTCCATCCCCTACAAAGGAGGAGGAGGAGGAAGAAGAGGAGACAGATGGTGAAAGGGTGGAAGAAGATTAAATAGTAACTGCATAGGAATGTGAGGTTATTTAAGTTCAGAGAGACCTGGACATGTTTAAGTGCTGATGGGGAGGAGTCAAGAGAGACGAAGAGGCTGAGAAGATAGGGAAAAGATGCACAGGGCCAGCCTGGGCCTAAAATGTACCCCCCAGCTTCCAGTCACCTCTCCAGGTAGAAACAAAATCCCAAGGACCTCAGGGCACCCCCAGAGTCCACTGTCCTAGGGCAGAAGAGAAGGGAGTAAGGGACTAAGTTACACAACTGGGGCGACCATGGCTTGTGTGCAACTTGTGCCAGGCTCCAATTTTAGTCAAAGCACCACCATCCCTTGGCGGGGGGTCAAGAGAGAAGTGATTCAAATTTATTATTTTTTAAGTTACTCTATGGAACACAGCTTTGGATTCTTTTATGAAAGTAAATCTTTAAATCCTTTCAATGCCTAAAAAAGAGGGTCTACACTCCTCAATCCAATATAGCTGATGGAAAAACATTTTGCCTAGTGTTATAAAATTCAGGAAAGTCCACATAAATATCCAGACTTCCAAATTCTCTTGGCAACTTGAAGATCTGACAACCCCAGCACTGTGAAGCCTCTATCAGATGAACTCAGTGGTTGCTGCCTCATCAGAAAGGAGCAAATACTCACCATCTCGCTTGATATGGCCTCAAACCAACCACTTCCCTGACTGCCTGGCCCCTAGGGGGACTCTTCTGCTCTTGCTGGAAGATAGCTTAGATGCTGCTGTCACCTGTCCCAGCCATGCTTTATTATCGAGTACCTCCCTGTGTGGGGGGCAGAGAGTAGAGCACTGAGCATGAAACAATAACCACAACTCTGCCCCTGCTCACAGAGCAGGGAAGCTGGAGAGACAGGCAGAACTTTAATCTCAGCAGGATGGGGCTGCTGGCACCCTATGACAACACAGATTTAACTTTGCATTTAGAAAAATATTCCAGCTGTCTGCTCGTCCCACACACCCACTGATGAACAAAAGCACATTCAGAATGGATGCTCAACTTGCTATAGAAATTTTGACAGGAACTTCCTGGAGTTTGACATTGTACGAGGCACATCGCTTTAGCAGTCAGGCCAGAGCCACCTTTTGAAGAGGGCAGAGAGAATAGTTTAGTACAATACAACAGAATTTAAAAGAAGCACTGGAATGTTTTTGGCAATAGCAGTCTCATTGCATTCCTTCCCTTTTTCTTTGCAAGCTGGAATTGTTTCCAATATTGTGCCAAGATCTGACCTGGTCTTTGCCAGTCTCAATTGAAGATAGATTGAAACGATAGAGCAGGTATGATCCACAGGACTCAGAATGTTTGTTTGTTGCTAAAATTCTTGCAGTGATCATCACATTGGCCAATGTAAGCACCTGCCTGCCCATATCCCTTGAGGGTATTATTTTTAGAAGGAGCTTGGTGAAACAGAAGGGCTTTATCACTATTGAAAGAAGAGGAAAAACAAGTTTGATAAAATTTCAATACAGACTAGGAGAAAAAAAAAAAAAGCTAACCTGAAATTCTGACCTGTATCTTTTGCAGTAGAATTAATTTTCATTGAATAAGAAGCAAAGATTAAAACACCCAAGGCCTTGAAGAATGTCATACAATAAAATTAAACTAGAATATTCTTGTTTTGAGAACAAGTACCAATCAAAAACTCTGAAGGGGTGTGAAGGTTGAGGGAGAGGAGGCAGGTTGTTCTAAATTTCAGGTTTTGGCAGTTACAGGATTTGGGAGTAAGATCTTTCATGCCACTGTGTTAACTCAGGGGTCTTCCCTCTCTCTCTTACAAATCAAGATGACAACTCTGTGGGTTGTGGATCATGGACTATTTGTCTGGATTTGAACCTCAGCTCTGATATATACTAGCTAGGTAGTATGTGAGAGGGAGAATTACTCGTCACCGCGTGTTCCTTTTTGCACACTTGGACATTTTTTCTATCTTCATTAAGGTATAGTTTATATATAATATTCACCCACTTTAAGTACACAGTTTAATGAATTTGAGTAAGTATATAATCAGGTCATCAAATAACCATTCAATCAAGACAGCCTAACATTCCCTTGCACCCTTGGCAATCAATTCCATCCTCTACCTGGACCCCAGGCAAATACCCATCTGTATTCTGACATAATTGGTTTGCCTTTTCTACTGTGTCATAAAAATGGCAACTTACAGTATATAGCACTTAAGCTTTTGCTTAGTATGCTTTTGAAATTCATCCACATAGCTGCATGTTCTAATATTTCATTTCTTTTTATTGCTGAATAATATTCCATAGTATGAATGTATGACAAATTTGTTTAACCATTCATCAGTTGATGGATGTTCAGATTGTGTCCAGTTTGGGACTATCATGAATAATGCTGTTGTTAACATTTCCATATAAGTCTTTATGTTGTACACTTTACATTTTGTTCCAAATGCATGTATTCTCATTTTTAAAATTAGGGTGTGGGAAGAATCACTTCTCTGAATAGCTAGAATCTGGAATAAATGAATATAATTATAGTTTGGCTGGCCAAGATTTACATAACTTCTCTCCACATGCAGTACTCGGTGCCTTTTTATGTATTATGTATGTAAATACACAAGAACTATTTGGCTTCCTCTAAGCAATACATCTAGTTGATTTCCCTGGCAGACAAGATGAATCAAATCACTGTGATTATGTTAAATGCTTCTGTGGCCTGAAGGGTGCTTGATTTTCTTAAAAAGAATCTGTCCTATACCCATTGGCCATTTGTATATATTCTTTTGAGAAATATCTATTTAAGCCTATTGTCCATTTTTTAATTGGGTTATTTGGGGTTTTTGCTATTAAGTCAGGTTCCTAATAAATGCTGGATATTAATCCCTTGTCACATGAATAGTTTACAAACATTTTTCCTATTCTGTAGGCTTTCTCTTCACTCTTGATTCCTTCCTTTGCTGGGCCATAGCTCTCTAGTTTTATGGAATTCCATTTGTCTACTTTTGCTTTCATTTCCTATGCTTTTGAGGTCTTTTTGTTTTGCTTTGTATTTCTACTGTGATTTCTTTATTTCAAGCCACAGGTCTAGCAAGTGATTTCTGTAACTCATGAGAGATAAGTGTCTAATTTCATATTTCTGCATGTGTATGTTCAATTTTCCCAGCACCATTTATTAAAGACTGTCTTTTCTCCTGTGTGTATTTGTAGCGACTTTGTTGAAAATCAGTTAGCTATACATCTGTGGGTTTACTTCTTTTTTCTCTTTTCTATTCCATTGGTCTATGTGTCTTGTTTTTCAGTCAGTACCATGCTGTTTTGATAACTAGAGCTTTGTAGTATGTTCTGAAGTCAGGTCATGTGCTGTTGCATAGAAGGGAGACTATAGACAGCAATAATGTGTTGTATATTTCAAAAATCTAGAAGAAAGGATTTTAAAAGTTTTCACCATAAAAAAATGACAAATGAGGGCTGGGGTTGTGGCTCAGCTATAGAGCGCTCATCTAACATATGAGAGGTACTGGGTTTGATCATCAGCAACACATTAAAATAAAGGTATTGTGTCCACCTACAAAATATATTTTTTTAAATGACAAATGTTCAAGGAGACAGATATATTTAACCTGATTTAAGTATTTCACAATGTATACAGATATTGAAATATCATGTGGTACCTCATAAGTGCATATAATTTTATGTACCAGTTAAAATATAAATTTAAATAAAAATTTAAAATTTTAAAATGTTAAACAACAAAAATATAATAATCTTCAACAGTTATATGCAACATGATATAGGGAAGGGCAATGCATGCATTTAGATCAAAATTAATGTATGGAGATAAAAGTTAGATGAGTGGCTACCTCTGACAGGGGTCACTGGCATTGATGGGTGCAAGGAGAAAGGAGTCCACAGGTTGTGACTGGGTCTTAGGGTGCAGGAACTGTTCTCTACCTTCATCTGGGTGCTGCTTCCCTGCATAAATACCTAGATAAAAATTCATCCAGAACCAGGCACAGTGGCATATGCCTGTAGTCCCAGCTACTCAGGAGGCTGAGTGGGAGGATCACCTGAGCCCAGGAGTTTGAGACCAGCTTGAGCAACAGGGTGAGATTCTATGCACTTTACTGTATGTATGTTTATATTGATAAAAAAAGTCAATAATCATAATTATTATTATAATTATAACCTTTCAATTTCAGGTCAAAAGAGATCCTATATATGATATGACTGGCATTAATCTTGGCACATAATAAAAGATGTGTAATAATTCATTTTGCTCCCATGCTTTCATTTCCAAGGGAAACAATGTTTAGCAATATGTTAACATTACAACTATGTATTTACTGGTTTCTGGTCTGCATAGATGGAGTCACTTTGGGTCCTCTGAAAACTGATGTATCCTGAGGTACAGGCAGGGGCGCAGATGGGCTCTCCACACATCCTATCTTGCCTCACCTGAGTGGATGCCAGCACAGATTTTCAGTTGTATGTTGGAATCTCTAAGGTCCAGCACCAGGTCCAGGGCTATGCTTGCTACCTCTTCAGCATGAAGGATGCCATTGGCCTTGGGCACCCCACATAACAACGTATCTGAAAATATAGGAAATAATAGCACACTTGAGTGAACTGTAAAAGATTGTAGGTTTTTTTCAAAGGTGACTGGCAAGGGCTTGTCCTCCCTTTGCAACATAGAAGATTTATGTAGGGCAGAGGGTGTAGAAAATACAAAGGATTGGGTCTTTGGGAACAAAAGTCACTAAAATTTGAGTGACCTGGACATAAGCAGATCTAATAAATCTTTCTGGTCTACATGTAAACAGATTGTCTCTTGACAACTATTAATCAATGCTTCTTATATTCAAATAGTATTGCCCTCTCATATTTAGCTTCAATACAAGATAAAGAGTCTAGGGGCAACCAGCCATGTTTGAGTCAATTTCTTACATTTGTCTTTCACATTGACAAAAGGAACTCTGGACCAAAGCTTCCAAGAACCACAAAAAGTAATGCAACAACTCATGGACTATTGATTCTTTGACGTCCACAGGATTATTTAGAGTGGTGAGAGAAGTACTTAGAGGAAAGCCACCCAGAAGCTTTCAAGAGTCAGTGTGGTTTTCAAAGGTATGGAAAGTTCATGAAGATTAGGTGGCTCAATATGCCAAGCTATAAGCAAAATAGATTTCCTGGTTCAAAGCTAAATGAGACAGGAAATGAACATCTTGAAGAAGCTGCATTCTTAAGGGGAAAAAAAAGTGACAAAATCTCAGAAGCCTGGAACAGTATAATTTGTAAGTGGTTCCCCAGAGTGGGACTTGGGTATAGGGCCTGCAGGATCAGAACCTTGTCAAGTCATAATGAGCACTGGTACATCGCAGAATGAGAACTTAGATGCTTAGACACTGACCTTGACTGAGTGCTATGCTGTACTGGATAGAAAAACGGACTGGGATCTTAGTTAAAAGAGTGATCCTGAAAGATGTCTTCAACCTTTTCCAGCACTGTTGTGTAAGTGGGTGGGAAGACACTCCCTGCTCAGCACACCCACTCAATTTCTGCCTCGATGTAGAAGGTGCTCTTCCTGACACAATCCTGCACATACACACACACACAGTTGTCATGGCAATTGAGGCACAGTCTAAATAAAAACATAGATGGAGGCTATATCTGAAAGGAGCCAATAATTTAAACATTTTGGTTAAAAAAACATATTTCAGTAAGGATGAGGCAACCTCTCTGTCTACCCAGTAGTAGCAACAACAACAACAACAAAAATCTGTCTACACACACTATCCCACCTAAGTACTGAATCCTGAGATCTTGGGATACTAAAATAATTAAAACACTGGTATTTAAGGCATCAATTATTTTTCAACAGTGCTTCTAAATGGAGTTTTGCCAATCTCTTCTAGGTTCTAACCCACCAGGAGTTATAGGAACTAGACTATTGAAAAATAACCACCAAACCAGTATAGCAAAAACTTCCGGCTTGGGGAAAATATTTTTGGACTTATTGGAGGACCGCAAATGTCAACTCACCAATCATTTTTACCACTTGCAAATGTTCCAAAACTCAGTTTGAATTCTATTACCTTAGGGGTTAATAATTCATTTAGAAAGATACATATCTAAATTATATCTCAAGTAATCAGAAAAAGTAAGATAGAGATAATAAAGATGCCTGTTTTATAATCAACGAGAAACTTAGTTAATTCATTTCAACAACCTTACATACCACGAAAAGTATCATCATGATTAACAAGAATTATCTAAGCAATTATTTTGCAGTGGATACTTAAGCTACAAAGAGATATAACGATCGGTGAAGTCTATCAATACAGGCCACACTGCAACGTCATACAAGGTAAATGCCCAAATAGTTAGAAAAGTGGGTGATTAGGAAAACTTTGAGTAGGCGAATCAAATTTCAGGGGGCAAGTAAGACTTGAGCCAGACTATAAAAAACTGACTATCGAGCCAGACGCTATAATCACTAATCACTAAACTTAACATTTAAGCATCCTGGAAGCAAAGGGGAAATATTACAGGTTAAATGAAAGTTTGGGTGGTTTGGCAAGAGATGTCCTATAAAAGAATAACGAGAAATGAATCTGTGCAATGAAGAATTAACCAAAGTGATGTCCAGTCTTTGCTTCCAGCTACAAGGAACTGGTCTCCCTTCAATGTCTTGCATGATAGGGGGCTGTGACTACTAACAGTTTAACAGTGTGACTTATAATGGGGCCTTGAGGTCACACAGTATCACTTATGACCTCTAGAGGAATTGATGATTAATTAGCCTGACCTCTAAGAAAGGATGGAGACTAAAGGTCAGCCACACAATAGTATGCAATTGGGCCCCAATAAAAACTGTACACCATGGATTTGGGTGAGCTTCTGCAGTTGGCAAGGTTCTATGCATTTTGTCACACATGGTGACCAGAAGGAGGTCATCTGACCATCTACGAGGAACTGGTCTCCCTTCAGGGAGAACAACAGCGCTTTCTAGATGGAGCTTTGCCAATCTTTTCTAGGTTCTAACTCAACAGGGAGAAAATGACTGACAGCTCCATAGTTAGATTCCTCCTGGATTCTGCCCTGTTTTTTCTTCCCTTGGCTGATTTTAATTTTTCTCTTTTTGCTATAAAAAAAATCTTTAATAATAGGTATAATACTCTCTTGAGTTCTATAAGTCATTCTAGTGAATTATGGAACCTAAGGGTAGTTGAGGGAACCCCCAAACTTGTAACCAGCTGATCTGAAATAAGGATGGTCCTAGGAATCACTAAGCTAGCAGCTGATGTTAGAAGTGAGGCCGTCTTGTGGGGACTGTTCCCTCAGAGTGTACAGTAAGCTAAACTCATTGTCAAGGGGAGGAAGTCTGGGATGTGGGGCACTGGCTGCAAGCCTGAAGAGTCTGTGCATGATGATGTAGGCTATTAAGTTTCTGATTAAGAGAACAGAATAAGCAAAGTTGGTTTCATTTCCTAATAGTTTTAAAAAAGCCAGGCACAGTTGTGCATGACTGTAATCCCAGCAATTTGGGAGGCTGAGGCAGGAGGATGACAAGTTTTAAGCCAGCCTGGGTGACTTAGCAAGAACTCGTCTCAAAATAAAAAAATGGAAATTGCTGGGGATATAGCTCAGTGGTAGAATATCCCTGGGCTCAATCTCCAGTACCACAAAAAGAAAGAAAATAGTAAATACAAGAGACAGGAAGCAAGGAAACTGGTTAGGGGACTATTTTTGTCCAGATGTAGGAAGATAAAGGTCAGATCTAGAAAAATGAAAGGAAAGGTGTGAATAACATTTATAGAAAACTTATGTCATGTCAAGCATTGTGAGTACTCTATATGCCTTTCATCTACAAAACAATCTACATGGTCAGCAAAATTATGATGCTTATTTTGCAGATAAAAAAGAACTGAAGCACAGAAAGACTGACTAATTTACCCAAAATCACCCAGCAAAAAAGTGGCAGGGCTGAGGTTTGACCCCAGCTGGAATCTGACTATAGAGCCTGACTCACAACCATTCTATTGTGGCTATAAAAGGGAAAGGCCAGAAAGAGTCAAGAACAACTCTAGAGTTTTGCACATTGATAAAGAGAAAGCTACAGGTGCCCCTACAGCCCAACACTTCTATTTTACTATGACCAAAAAGGCCATGAGCCCAGGAAATCTTGGCTGTACGCATAAATATGTCACTAAATACTTTACTAAGTCACTTAAATTTCCTGGGCTTCAGTCCCTCTTCAGTTGAGTAAATCTCTAAATTCCCTGCCCACCATGAGAAGCAGCAGTCTGAGTAGCCAGCAACATGAGTTCTTGAGTCTGACAACTTTGGGTCTTGGTTCTGCATTTAGTAGGTGTGACCTTGAGCAAGTATGGAGCCTTGGCGTTCTCATCCAGGAAATGGAGATTATGATGATATCTGGGTCATAGGAATGTTGACAGGTACATTAATCAGTGGTCCACATCAAGCCCTTAGCACAATGCCTGGCATGTGACTAAGCATCCGATACATGGTGGTGTTAGTATTAGTTTTCCAGCTCTATCTAGCAAGCTAGGAGATAATGCATAACTTGAGAGCCCTGAAAATACCATTCCAAATAATTACACTGGCCATACTCATAGGTGAATAATTAATTTTTCAATTCTTATTAGTAACTGTATGAAAGAAAAATACATATTTTTATTAGCTACCCTTGATGCGGGTGCACCACTCTGGACTCTGCTGACAGCCATTGTTGTCTAGTGCAGCAGGGATACAGACTGAAGCATAAAAGTTCACACTGACACAGAACCCCATTGTGCACCAACAATAAAACAGACAACACTAAAGGATGAAGATTTAGCATCATAGCATACTTTGACCAAAACACAAGTTAATCAGTACTTTCATAAAGCACAACAAAGCAGAACCTTGGTCCCAATCAAGTCCCAGATGCCTAAGTACTTAATCCATTTTTATCAACTCCAAGCAAAATTTACTTCAAATTTAGCCAAAGGATTATTTCAGCTTTCTCTCTGTATTCCTTCAACAACGGCCTTCAGAGATAATGTTATGACCCTCACCCACATTTCTGCATAGTGAGCCTACCCTGAGTGAATAAAGAAAAATCCTTTAAATCTAGGGATTACTGAAAAAAATCAGAATCCCTACCTACTATGTATTTAGTGTCCTATTTACTCATTAACAGTGAGATTTGTTAAAAGTTTTCATCTTTTGCTGGGAGCACATTTGGGTCTAAACATCTGTTCAATGGTTCTGAATTAGAGGCACAGGGAAGAAAAGCCCAAAGAAATACAAGTGAACTGTAAGGAAAATATGGTTGTTTAATTAATTGTCCTGTATGATAGCAATTTTAATTTCATGATGCAGTGTCTTCCAGTAATGAAAACAAGAAATTCTAGCAGCACAATAGTTTCATCAGCACAGTATTTTTCACTAACAGAAAGAAAAGGAATTGTGTGAATTGCAGTGACTCATGCAATGGTCTGCATGGGCAGTAGGTCCAGTAACGAAGGTGAACTGGGAGAAGCACCATTCCTTCTTCAAGTGATTATCGATCTCAGTCCTTCTACTTA